ACTCAGCCATCATGTCTATATAGAGAGAAGAATCCAGAAAAGAGGGAGTTTAAGCATCTGGCCCGACATCCCTAAATGATTCCTTGGCAAAAGGCAGAAAGTGCCCTGAGTCGACACCAGGAGAAGGGCCTGCCCCACAGTCCAGCGTGTCCACCCCAAAGCCGTTTGTCTAAAGAGTCGCTGGCGTGCCTGCCCCTTCCACAGGGGCGGCAGTGAAAGCCATGCAGCAGGAGGCAGAGAGGGGGCCGCCACTGCGTCCTGGAGCTGACAGCACAGTGGAGCCCAGCTCACACCCCCATCCCAGGAGTGTTCTCTCAGAGGAGGCAGGCTTTGTCTGTCGTTCCAACAGCAGACTTCGGAACTTTTTTGTTTGGAGGAAGAGCGTTTATCAAAACAAGAGCCAGGACCATGAACAGGCTGTTAGCCCCGATCTGCAGCACCTGGCATGGCAGCTCTGTGCCACCCAGCGTGCCGTCAGGACTGAGACCTGAGGTGTCGGGACGGGGGGCAGTGCCAACACGTCAGGGGACATGTTGCGTTTAAGCGTTCTTTATTTTATTCCCTGGAAGCAGAACGCAGAACTTCCAGTTAAGGCAGTGGAGAGCACCGTTGCTGGAGGAGTGTCAGCGCTGGTACCTAACAGGACAACCCGAGTGACTTCCGTGGTAAACGAGGCTCACGCTGGCAGGTGCCCTTCCTGGAAGCTCTGGGGGAGGAGGGGTCAGCGTACAGCCGGCTGCAGACACAGGCAGGCAGACCTGTGGCCATCTTGCTTCCGCCGTCTTTTCAGCACACGTGGCGGTGACAGCGGCCCTGATATTCCTCTGTTTGCTCGGGACCCCTGCACCCAGACCGTTTGCTCCTCCCACTGCAGCCTCGCAGATGCGCAATGTCTGACCAGGCTCTGGGGAAAGCTGGGTTAAGCCTCTTGCTTTGAGCAGGGAACAGGCATCCTTGAGAATTTTCACTCCCACCTTTCCTCCCATTTTGTCCCCCTTTATGAGTAAGTTCTCAAAGCCTCTGCAGAGCTTAATCTGTTTTGCTTGGGGACCAGCCAGATCTCTGTTCCACTCCACCAGGAGAGAAACCAGAAGCTGCCAGGGCCCCTTTTTATGTCCGTCACGTTGACTATTGCTCCGTTTTGGCTGGACTGTTACTGGATTTTACATCTAAATACCATCTTTTAGATTCATTTATGGATATATTAGAAAAACACTAATGATTTTAAGTTTTTAAGCATCAGTAACCCCTTTCACAAAGTTTTGCATGCATTTCTTTAGAGACTACAGCAGTCAGATAGTCCAGCACTGCTCTGTGATCATAAGAGAGAGGTTCTGTTCCCTCTGAAGAAGTAAACGAGGTGATAGACAGACTTGCCCGGTGCGAGAGTTCTTCCTCCACGGTTAGTCACGTTAACTCCTCATCACGGAATCCGTCCACTTTCCCCAGACTTCAGGCTGCATCTCGGATGGTGGATGTGTTTTAATAGTCACATTGTGGGCTTGCTGTCCTAGAAACGCATGGCACTGCCTGCCTCAGAGCCGCAGGGGAGTCTGGGACGTGGCCCTCAGTGTCCCAGATGATCTGTGCTGCTCTCCAGACTGCAGCCCGACTTTGAACTTTCTCTGCCACCCTGGATTGTGGAGCGGCCTCTCAGCAGGCCTGACCTGAGCTACCGGGAGAGGGAGGTGTCAACAGACACGACCTGAAGCTCGTAGTCCATGACACACTACTAGGGGACAGAGGTGGCTTCAACTCCACAGGTTTTCAATTCTGAGAAAAACCAATACCCTGGGAGCCAGGACAGCTCTCTGTTGGAGAGATTGCAGTTCAGGGATTTCGGGAGAAATGATGGGTCTTTCCAGGCCTCCATGCCTGTCTCTGCCACTGCGGTAACAGGACAGAAGGAAAACTAGGTGCCCGTACATGTAAAAAAATGTCTCTTCATGGAAGGGCCAGACAGCTGAGATGTCCGGATCTTGCCCCAGGACACCACATTCTCTTGTTTTCTAAGATGATTTAAGGAAAAGAGCGCTGATCAGTTCTCTCCCAGGAGAGTATTTTGCCCGCCATCCTCTGATGTGGACCTGAGCCCCTGGAGAGCAGCCTGTGTGTGTGTTTGCTTGTTATGTTCTGTGTTTGGTCCCAGAGTCAATTCAGAAGGAAATGAAACGTCTGGGCCCCTTTTGTGATCCAGGGAGAAGGAGGGGTGTGTGTTGTTAGAACTTAGATGGCCACTGTATTGAATGGGAGGGCACAATGAGAAAAATGGCACATTTTTTGACACTTGAAGGTACTTTCTGAGCATTTTTGAGAAGTAGCCACATGGAGGCAACTTTCTAATCTTTCATCCCTTACTCGTTTAGTGCTTGAGGATTCTTACAGTGTGTTCCCATATACTGCCTCGTTTTACCCCTGAAACAGCCCAAGAGGTAGCATTCTCACCCCATTTACAGATGGGGACAAGGGGACTCCAGAGGTGAAGTGGCTCGCCCAGGGTCTTATGACTAGTCAGCTGCCGAGTCCATGAGGGTGAGCTGTGCAGCCCAGAGTGTGACCCCCACTTCTGACTGCTGACTCAGGTCTCCTGCAGCTAGGAGTCCCCAGTGTAGACTGTCCAGGGTGAGCCGGCACGCAGGAACACGTGTACGCACCTAAGCTGCCCCAGGGCCCTCTCGTGCCTGGGTGGCCCTCCCCAGGCTTTTGCCCACGAATCGCTGTTCTGTGTGCTCTGTGAGAAGGCTGCCTTTGAAACCAGCACGTGGCCTTATGTGGGGCAGGCAAATGCATGGGGCCATCAACGCTGCCCTCAGGGATGCTGCAAGTGTCAGCCCCAGCCCTGGCCCCACCACACTCTTGTCCCACAACTAAGCCGGAATTCATTCCCCTTCCCACTTCTGCAGGTTCGTATCAGTGATTTATTACTGCCACCTAAGCAGAGAGCACTCTGCCAGACTCACGGCTCCCTGGCTGACCAGGTTCAGTGTGTCTGCTAAACACTTAGTGATGCAGTGAGCAAATGTATGAAGACATGATTCTGAACAGAATATGCCTTTAAATAATGTTTGGTCATCTTTTGTGTGGAAGAGTTCATCCCTTATAGAGTCATGTGTCGCTTAACAACGGGGATACCTTCTGAGAAATGCATTATTAGGCGATTTCATCATTATGTGAACATGATAGAGTGGACTGGAAGGGAACAAGATTTGCTCCCTCCCCCCAAAAGTGTGTCACTTTAACATGAGGATTATTTTAGGCTGATTATTTTTAAGAAACGAAAGACTCAAAGTTTTTCTTATTACCTTCCCCTTAACTGCCTAAAACAATTCCGATAAAAAACCCGTCTCAGGGGGCCAGCCCTATGGGATAGTGGTTAAGTTTGCTGCATTCTACTTCAGCACCCTGGGTTCACAGGTTCAGATCCCGGGTGCAGACCTACACCACTTGTTGGCCATGCTGTGGTGGCAACCCACATATAAAAAGTAGAGGAAGATTGGCATAGATGTTAGCTCAGGTCTAATCTTCCTCAGCAAAAAAAAAAAAAAAACACACCCATCTCAGGAAGCCAGCTGTCACCTTAGCATCACATGAACTAGGTGATGGACAGGGAGGAGCCTAGAAAAGCGTGTGGGTGGGCTCCCCTCTGTGTTCTTCTGTTTCTCTGTCTCCAGAGAAACATTGGTTTTCCAAACACTTGCTCCTTTTCACCTACCTGTGAGTTGCCTGCCTTCCCTTTGAAGTCCCTGACTCTCCTCAGCCATGACATCTTCTTTTGTCTTTGAGGATGGTATTTAAGGTGAAGTTTTCGACCATTTGAGCAAGTTGCTCAGTTTTCCTAGGTTTCTCCCATGTATACATGTTATTAAACGTTTGTCTGTTTTTCTCCTGTTAATCTGTCTCATGTCAATTTAATTCTTAGATGAACCAGAAGAACCTAGAAGGGTAGAGGAAAATTTCTTCCTCTCATGCAGTACTTACCCAAACCTAGATGGTGCAGCCTACTGCATACCTAGGCTCCAAACGACCACTGTTATGGGACCACTGTCTTATATGTGTCTGTCGTTGAAAATATTGTTATGTGGTGCATGAGCATATAACCACAGCCAAAGAGGAGGTCTGAACTGGGCAGCATGTAGTCGTATACAGAGAGGAGGGCATCTCCTCTCCATGCTCATGCTGTCAGTACCCATCAGTCCAAGGGCCATTGGCATCTCGGCCTGAGATTGATTGTCCTCCCGAAATATTGCTGCTTTTCCTTTTTTCTTGTTTTGCACTTGGCATCTGTTGATGGGCTGCCATTTGCAGGAGTCCTTCATGTGGACTGTTACTCCAAAGACCGCCCTAGATGGCAAGGAGCAGAACTTTTCCATGGCATAGAAATCTGGACTTCCAGAAGGAAAGCAGAAGCTCAGGGGCTCCTGGTACCGTGGCGTTTGCTCCATCCAGTCTGACCCCGCTCAGAGGAGCACCTTGGCTCCTGTGAGGTACTCTCACAAAGGGAGCCTGCATTTGTTTGGGGACCCAAGTTCTACTTGCTACTGAGATGAACGGAGGATGCAAAGTCATCTCTCAGTTGCCACAGGATGTCCAGGCTTTAGTGTTACGTTCAGTTTCAAGATCAGTTTCTTCACGGAGTTGGCCACATCTTCAAGATGTAGTACAGGGGGACTCCATGGCAGGGAGATTGGGAAAACCAAAGCTGCCTTACAGGGCCCCTGTCCCTGTGCCATATGGACATGCTCAGCTAGTCCTCCAGCACCTGCCATCTTCCCCTAAACAGACGCCCACAGCTTCTGCTTCTGTGTCTGCTGCCAGGAGTGGTCATCATGGTGGCCTGCCCTCCCCCTTGACCTGCATGCTGAGTCCTCCCCACCCCCAGCTCCCTCCTTCAGAGCACTCCAGATGCCTGTGGTCCAGGACACCGGAAGTCACGGCAGAGGGTGGAATGGAAGGATGGGCAGTCTATAAACACACCACAGAGGAGCCAAACACTTGAATTGTTTTTTTTTTGGAGGCATAATTTAGTTTTCTCACCTAAAGCGCCTTTCACTCTATATCTGGCGATCCAGGGTTACAGAAAACAGCACCAAAGGATGGAAGGGAACATTTCGCCCTCACTCCCCATCCCTGCCCTCCCCCTGTGCCTCAAATACCATCTGAATGATCACAGAATGAGGCTCACGCTCAACCGCCCGCCTTTCTCACTTATGTGTCTTCTTTCTCTTACACACACACATACTCACGTGCTCACACACTCTCACACGAAAAGAAAGAGAACCGAAACCCACTAAAGCATATAGGGAAAAAAGATTTAAGCACATCTTCCTCCCCATTCGGCATTGAGACCAAACCCCCTGCCTTCCCAGCAGGGGCTCACCCAGCTTCGTCACTGGGTCCCACCAAGGATGACAGGCAGCGTCCACCAGTTCCCAAGGTCCCCTTTGGATGGCAACGTGTCCTGAGTCAGTCGTTCTGTTTCTGCTTGCTGTCGATGTTGCCGTAGGCAGAGCCCTTGTCTATTTCTGTCACGCCAATCATCCATCGAACTCCCATGGAAGCTGCAGAAATGGGAGGGGCAGGGAGTTAGGAGGAGCCTATGGGGACCCCAGGGAGATTCGCCCAACGAGAACCATCAGAGGCAGCTGTCTGCAATCTTAAGCATCAGCTGAGAGCTAGCTGAGTTGGGGTGCCATTTCCTAATCCCTGCCTTACATGCTCCTTGGGCATGGGTACCAGGGCTCTCACCGGACTAAGTGACATTAACAAATGGAGCAAGGCTGTTCTGTTGGTGAGTTTCAGTCCTTCCACCCTGGAAGTGAGGAGCATTTTGTAAGCTGTACCTAGCTGTACATGGGAGCTTACAGGATCCCTCTACTGACCCCTAAGGCAAAGAAGATTCTCTTCTGAATGCAGAGCAGGAACTTATGGGCGCCCTTCAATGAAGCTTAATAAAAAATATATCAGGAGCCTGGAGAACGCAAGAACCCAAATTTGCATGTCCCAACATTGCTTTTGGTGCAAGTCTCAGAGCACTGGACAGGCAGAGTCCCTGCCTCCACGGAAAGCCTTTTCTCTAACAACAGGAATGGCCCAACCAGAGAGCGTGGGACCCATACGAGAGCCCACTTGAACCACTAAGAAGCTGAGACCAGAGTCTAAAGCTCAGAACTGCTTCTGGAGGGGGCGGGCTCGAGGAGCCCCTTGAGTGTAGGGACCACATCTTCATCACCTTCATATGCCCAGCACTGAATGCAGAGCGTGGCCAACAGTCCATTTGCAGGATGGGTAGATGGACAGTGACAGTGGGTATATGGAAATCTCCAAGTCTCGATGTACATGTTTACAGAGCATTAGCATTACGGTCTGTGAATTGTTAGGCACAGAGGGAGCTGACTGGGATAGGCGAGTCCACCAGCCAGTATGAGGTACATGTGTCCTGTGGGTCATTTACAAATGGGCAGACTTCAGCCTGGGGCCAGCTCTAAAGAGGCTGGGACATGAGCCCCTGTCCCAATATTGTGACTTCTGTGCAGTGGTGATGGTGATAATGCAGAAAACAAAGAGGTGGTAAAACATGGACTCCACTACCCGAAGGCCTCGTAAGAGGAATGAGATGCCAGCACAGAGTAATTCAGGGCAGAGGGTGGTCAGGCTCGGGGGCATGGGTGACGAGGCTTTGGTCTCTGGGGCAGGGAGACTCAGAGCACTCAGTTCCTCCAAAGCTCCTGGAGGCCCGTGTCTCCCAGGGAACGGGCGGCCTCTGTATGGCACTCACCACGCACCTGGGCTGCCCCTTCCCACCCTTCATCTCCAAGGAGCCGCAGCTTTCCCCAGGGGGCACTGGTCTCCATTGATGGCAGGGGGCTGAGTCTGTGCTCAGCCCCCTGGGGGCCCCGGCCACTGTGCACCAGCCCTGGGTGGCCTCGGGCCTTGTCCATAGGGAGTTAAATCAGGGGTTTTCTGCATCCTCTTCTCTCTGTACTTTTTTTTTCTGCAAAGACTGGGTGTTATTTTAATTTTTTAACATTAAAATGTACCTTAATTTTTAAAAAGACGACAGTAGGGTCTATTTTAGGAATAATGGCCAGTTTGCCTATTGCAACCATGCAGTCTAAAATTGGTTGTCTTGGTCCAAGAGAATGAGATAGGTGTATGTGTTGTGACATGTTGTGGCCACAATTTACTAGGGGAAAACAGTGAGTTAGAGAAACTCCACTTATGTGAGTTTGTATATGCATATATGTGTCTGAGCCTGGCAGAATGTGCACCCAACTGTTAGTAATGGCCATCTCTGCAGAGCAGGATCAAAGGGGGAGTTCTGTCCTGAGACAGTGTCAGTTTTACACACTTTTCTATGAGTCTTTTACAGTGAGCATAGAGCACTTATCTCTTGTGCAGGAATAACTGAGAGATGTCCACTGAAATAAACACACAGATCATTGCACACTTCTAACTCTGTGCCATTTCTCCTCGTCTCAGAAAAGCGGGATGCACTCTGCCCACGCCCTCCAAGGTCTCAGGGCGGACTCCTTCCTCCCCAGACTCAGGGTGATGGGGCTGTTTCAGAGGGTCTCCCTCTAAACAGGAAACCCCCCAAGTTTCCCTCTGGCTCCAGAAAGCACAGAGTGCCCCTTTCATAGGGCAAACAGCAAATGTAGTGACCCCTGGCTGCTCCACTTCAGAAGCAAGTGGCAGCATGCAGGAAAGCTTAATGGCATGAAGAAATAGCAGCACTTTGAAACCCCTGTTCAAATAAAGCCAATATGGATTCACGAAAAAGCTGAGTCCGAATACCGCCATTGAATGTCAGTGCATGTGGCAACCAAGGGGGAGCACACACACTTCCCAAAGGGCCCTGGACCTGCTTGGAAGGGCAAAGAGCCTTTGTCAGTTCCTGTTTGGCTCCCGGAAACGGTTTCCCTCTGGTCAAGGGGGAGATGACTACAATGGGCAGAGCTGTCTGCAGAGGCCAGGGGAGTGAGCGATGCCAGCACTGGAGGAGTTTAAATAGCAGCTGTGTGGCCAGCCCCTGGGGACAGTGAGGGAGCTCCAGCCCTGGGCAAGAGGCTGGACACCTGGATGTGAAATTCCCCCAGCTTGGGATTCTCGGTGTGTTGGAACACCCGTCCTGAAATCGAGGTTTTTCCCTGTCAATCTGCAGGCTCTGCCTTCTCCTCACAGGTGCTACACCTGCGTGAGTTTATCAACCTTCTCCCTGCACTCGTCCCTTGTCCGATGCTCCTCCCGAGCCTCCTGCTCTCCACTTACCCACAAAGAAGACGAGGACAAAGCTGGCCAGCGTGAGGGAAGACCCGCTGCTGATCATGTTGACGAGGAAGCGGAAGAAAGGGTAGAGTAGCAGCGAAGCCCAGAACAGCCAGTTCACGAGCGTCCAGGGCCGCCGGGGGGGCACCATGGGCGTCTCCGGGAAGGTGCCTGTCCTGTAGTACTCCTCCTGGAAGGCATCCTGGGGACAAAGAGGGGACCTCATCACATCCGACACCGGCCTCATGCAGGCCCCTCCCCAGCTCAGAGGCCCCTAGGGCCACAGTGGCTCAGCAGAGCTGGGGGTCTGCGGCACCTCATAGAAGTGTCTTATAGGCCCCTAATGTGTCTTCACGATACTGACTTTGGCTGTCCCCTTCCCACGGTGACACATGGAGAGGCAGGACCGCTGCAGCTCTGTCACTGAGTCCAGGTGTAGGAGGTTGAACTTGGGGCCCAGGCCTGCTGGGTTCGGTTCTGTCCTGCCCCTTAGCACTTACTGACTCCAGGCAGGTGACCAGCCTCTGAGGCCCAGGCAGTAGTGGCATCCAGAACAGGTCAGTGGGCGAATGAAATGAGACGACGCACTGAACCTGGCCCTCAGTGAACATCGCAGAACAGTAGAAATCTGAGCCTCAGAAGAGGAGTGGGCAGGGCCGTGAGCTGGCCCCCCGCACCCACCCCACAACCCCGCTGCACTGTCGTCTGCCTCAGCACGCCAAGACTGCATGATGACAGAGGGCTGGGGGTCTGCTCATGGGAGGTGAGGCACTCCCGGAGGAGGCCCAGCAGATGAGGCCAGCCACCAGCGGCACTGCTCTCTGGGTCAGGATCAAGCGACCACTGTAAGTGACCATCGAGATGACCAGAAGGTCAAGAGGTTCCAGCCCTGCCTTGGGGCAGACTCTCGTCTGACACCCTACCGGAAATGAAATACCAGAAATTCTACGTGTCCATGCCCGATCTGCCTGTGTGTATGTGTCGCTGAATGTTGTGCAGGAAATTCACTCAGGCCCAACATCAGCTCGGTGAGGGCACAGGTAAGAAGTGGGGAGTTCCCCCCCAGCCCAGGGCCCAGGCTGCTCAGCAGGTGCATGTGCCGCAGAGCTCCATTCGAGCCGGCCTCGGGTGAGACCCACCGAGCTGCATCTAGCGGGCAGTTCATGCAAGGAAACACTGCGGCTGAGAGAGCTGCCAGGCTGGCCAGGGGCAAGAGCGACGAGGCCAGAGACCGTGGCACCAGGACGACGGCAGCCGTCCCAGGGTGGTCACGGCCGTGTGAGGACGAGGGCTGGGGACTGAACCTTCTCGAATTCAGACTCAGACAGCCATGGGGAGCTTCCTCGTTTCCTAATAGGAGCAACTAATTCAGTCGTCGTAAAAACACCCTGGGGGCTGACGGTGTGCATGCCGAATAAACACTGGGCCACCCTAGGCCTGCTTGTGGCCCATCTCAGCCTAGTAATGTCCCCGTTCTCCAAGGGTCCAGTTTTCTGGAAAACAAGCTGCCATACACCTGAAACTTACACCTGAAGTGTTGAGTTTTTTCCTTTGAGAACTTGAGATAGAAATGTTTAAAGTCATCATACTTTTCTTCTCTCCCGGTCAGGGTGTACTGAATAATCCAGTTTTTTGACCACTCAGGGTCATGATTAAAACGAATCCACAAACGGGCCATTTTGGAAGGAGAACCTCTGACCCCTTCCCTGGGGAGGTAAGGAACTCTGCCCCGAAGCCCCTCCCCGGCCTCTCCCCAGCCAGGTCCAGAGCTCCCTCCTTGTCTCTGTTCTGGGACAGAGGCCGAGGGGAGCCCGGAGGCTCTTGGGGGAATCAAGCAATCACAGGACAATCGACTCATCTGCCCAGTGCTCCCACCCTCAAGAACTGAGGAACGCAGAGCCTGTCGCCTAAACGGATGACTTACAGGGAAGTGACGATGACACGTGGGATGCCCAGAGAGTTGGCACCTAACTCTGGCAAGGCCTCCCATTTCACCTCCCTGCCGGAGCGTGGGTGATTTTTCTCATCCCAGGTGGGGGCCACCAGGAGCCCGATACCCATGCAATGGACTGAATGTGTCCCCCCAGAATTCCTGTGTTGAAACCTACCCCCAGTGTGTTGGTGTTGGGAGGAGGGGCCTTTGGGAGGTGACTAGGTCATGAGGATGGAGCCCTCAGGAATGGGATTAGTGCCCTTATAAAAGGGACCCCAGAGAGCTCCCTTGCCTCTTCCACCACACGAGGACACAGTGACGCGGACGAGAGCTGTGACCAGACCCAACCCTGCTGGCACCCTCATCTTGGTCTCCCAGCCTCCAGATTGGGAGACAAATTTCTGTTGTTTATAAGCCACCCAGTCTGTGGCACTTTGCTATAGAAACCCAACTAGACTAAGATGGGAGGTGACATTATTGTGCCCTTTTTAAAAAAGCAGCTTTATTGAGCTGTCATTCACATACCATAAAATCCACTCACTTTAAAAATGGGCAAGTTTTTTTAAATCCTTTTCCTTAGCAGTTTTGATCGTGTTTTCCTGTTGTAATATTACAATGGGGGAACTGATGACACTTTATTTTTCTTTTTTTTGAGGAAGATTAGCCCTGAGCGAACATCTGTGCCCATCTTCCTCCACTTTATATGTGGGATGCCTACCACAGCATGGCGTGCCAAGCGGTGCCATGTCTGCACCCGGGATCCGAACGGGCGGACCCTGGGCAGCCGAAGTGGAATGTGCGAACTTAACCACTGCGCCGCTGGGCCGGCCCCTTAATTCTTCTTGCAGGCCAGTAGCATTTTCTCCTGGCTTGGCACCCCTCCCTCCCGGCCCTGCACCCCACACAGAGCCGCTCCAACCTTGGCCTCCATGGACCCTGCACACCCACAAGACAGCCCAGAATGTTGCTTCTTTTGCCCATATTTTAATTTGCACCATTAGTGACTAATTTCTCATCCCTTCAGCAAACTTCGAACTGCAACCCAGGGAGACCGTTTAAGTTAGAAATGAAAAGTTAGAATTCATTCAGAACAGACAACTGAGAAACCATGATGGCTCTGGGGACAGTGGTTCCGGGCTTGTAGGTTCAGCCTGAGATGGAGTTCATTTGGGAGCTGCCTGTGTCCCCAAGGAGATTGTGTGAGGGTCATGTCACACCCCCTACAGCCGCCAGGGGTTCCAAATGGTGACATGTAATAAATGTGTGTTTTCTAAATGCTAAGCTTGTTCCACTTAAAGGATGGCCCTGTTTTCAGAGATGACATCTTTCCTATTTCGGAGACTGTTTAAATGGCCGTGGTAGATTTCTTTTTATTTATGTCCCTGTTGAACAGAATAACATGTCGGCACACCCCTGTTGGCTGCCCACCACCCCCTCCCACATTTTGCAGAAACTTACTTGGCCATGAAATCAAAGTCTGAGAACTGCTGCCCTAAAACCCAACCTCAAAGCCAACAGTTGTCTTTCGACACCATACCTCTAAAAGATGATGATTAAAATGGAACCCCGCTTCGACGAGCTTGGTGGGGCACCAAGATTTTTTGGCATAGAAAGCCCTGGATCCATCTAGGCTCCTGACACAGAAACGATAGGCCACACGTCAGTCTTTGATATCTACTCACATTTCATTTCCTCTTGGAGGCACCACTGACCACTTACTTCCACTTTCTGGTCAGTGGTTGTTCCCCAAGGGAAAGGGCCAGCCTCAAAAGTCTGTTCACAGATGCAGAGAACTGGGCCATCGTCCCAGCCTCTGTGGAGACAAGGGACCTGATCTCCAGCACCTGGCTCTGATTATGGAACTGGAAGACGTGGGCAAATTATATCATTCTCTGGGCCTTAAATTTCTTCATCACCAACATAAGAGTTTTGAACTCTGAATATTTGGAGGACCCCTTCCAAATTGAACACTATCATTTTAATGCAAATATAGTTGAGAGAAAAACATCCTGAGACTTTATCTAGAAGGAAAGGGGCCTCTTTGCTTAAAGCCCAAGGGGGCCCGGTTTGCACAGTGACCACACTTCTCGTGCCTGAAGACGGAAGAAAGGGCTGATTGAGAAAACTCTCCTTTGCTTTCATGGGTTTGGGGATTGCATCTGTTGTAGATTTGTTTGTGTGGCTCTTTACGAAAGGATTCATTTCTTGGGCCTTTTCTTGGCACCTTTTTCTTTTTGCTAACAGTGACGTTTTTTATACTGCCTCAATGATGAAACTAGAAAACAGCACAAGGAAAATGCTGCCTTGTGCAGGAAAGCAGAGGGCAAGAATTTCTATTGTTTTGTGTTTCTCTGTGCGTCAGCACAGAACCTGGACAACCTGTTGTTATTCTTAGCATCCCGTTAAAAAGCATCAGGCAGCGCAATTGCAAACCCGGCTCCTCAGACCGTCTGCGTCAGAAGCAGCTTCCCAGAAATACACGCTTGTAGGTTCCACCTCAAACCTACTGAGTAAGAATCTCTGAGTTTGAGGCCCAGGAATCTGCGCAGTTCCAGCTCTGATCACAGGTAAACTAGTCCCTATTTACTGTTGGTAAGAGGAGAATGGAGAGCTTTGCACCTAACCCATCCAGAAAAGAGACCAAAATGTCAAACTCTGAGACTGCATTTCAGAGACATCATCAGAAAAATCACTTCCTTGAGAAAACAAGAGCCACTTCTTGCTAAGAGGATATCAAGATCTTGGTCCCCAAAACAGCATATTTATAAGAGCATCTGTACTTAATTAGATGGCAGTAATTTGGAAGTCTTTTGGACCGAAATCCTAACTCATTCTCAAAGGCAAGATTACAATTCTTACTCAAGTGGAGCAGAGGTCCCATAAAGTTCTGCGTGATTATCTTCCGTTGAGGGATGGGGAGAAAAAGACAGCAGGTGTCAGCCAGTCTGTGTTCACCAATTTTGATGAAAGGAAGTTAGAGTCCCACCGAATGTGTTTGATGCTAGACACTGTGCCGGCTTGGGCTTAAAATGTATGACGGATGAGAAATCAGTTTTTACTGGGTAGTGAGACCTGGTCATAAAAATGCCTTCCTCGCCAGGTAGAAGCTAAACTTTCCTGCTTCCTAAGATCAGGCACTCAGGACAATAATAATTAGACTCCCCCTGCCCTGCACATGTCCTGGAGGAGAGAAACCAGTGGAGATGCGGCCCTGCTCAGAGGAAGGAAAGAGAAGAGGGGAGCTCGGGGGCTGGAGCACAGACATAAGCAGGGGGCGCTGCAGCAGATCAAACCCGGCCGAGGTGGACCCTCCTGGGGTTTCATCCTGCTTGTGCCCGTGATGTTTTGAGACCACACAGGCGAACAAATGGTGCACCCAGAAGCCATCCAGACCACATGCATTGCTAAAGAGAACACCATGCCTCCAAGAATATTTTGCCTTAGGACCGGAAACAGGAAAATAGAGACAACAGCTGTTGGGGCCGTTACTTCCTTTTGCGTCCACGACACCCATGAGCTAGTTCCATTCTTTCTCTGAAGCCCCTGTAAAACGTAATTTGCTATGTTCTTTTCCTCTTGCCAAGGAGAGCGTCAGCTCCAAGATCACTAATAACTGGGCTGTGAGGTCTCACCCAGTGGAAGAAGGCTTGCCACCCCCCTCAACTCCCAAAGGCCCCCACGGTGCGCCCACAGCGGCCACCCGAAGTGGATCCTTCAGGTCCCTCAGGGCCACCCCCGTGGCACTGACCTTCTCCTGGTAGAGCTTGTGGAGCCAGGCGGAACACTTGTCCTCATCTTCTGGGACTTCTTCTAGAGGAATCCGCCTGCAAAGCAGAGAGCAGCTACTGGGAGGAGGCCAACGCCAGAGGCCCTGAGCGAGATTCCAAAATTACAGCGCTCGCCGACTTTGACTTCTGCTTAGGCAGCCGAGGTCAGATGGACGGGAAGAGGGTAATTCAGCTGATAGGAAGGGGGAAAAGCCACATCCGTGTTGTGGTCATGGCCCGGGAAGGAACGAGCAAGGGCCCTTCAGTGCTCAGATAGAAACACAGCTAGGAGAGGACAACTGTCTCTTTCTGTCCGCCCTCCCACCTCACAGAAAGGCTCCCAACACCTGAGGTTTGCCTCTCAGTAGAGGACAACGAGGCCTCAGTTTCCACATGAAATAATCCCGTGTGCACAGAATCTATGTAGGAGGTGATATACTAGATCTTTTCCCAGCCAGGCAGCAACTTAATGCTAATGGCTAAGTAGCTCCCATCACATGATCCTTTGGCCTCTTGGGTACCATTGAGGCTGACTTTCAGCAAGGGTTTTGCCAAGTAAAAGGATGTGTATCTTGGGGAACTAACGTTTCCCCAGGATGGGAGAAGCCAGGGACCCTCCCCAAGTTTTGTCGCTCAGCCCCTTCGTGCACGAGTGGGAGATACAGATTCCAGGGTGGGTCTGGGCTGGTGCTGTCAGGGCTGAAGGCTCAGCCATGTGCAAATGGCCAGTCCTGAGCGAGGGGAGAAGTCATTGGGCCATGTTCCCTCTTCCATAGATATTTCTATCTGTTCTCAGTTTGCTGGCTTTTGTGATTGCACGAAATGCATGGCGTGTTCATTTACGTGGCTTTATCCGTGCAAACTTCTGCATCCATCGTGATTTTCCGTGGGTCGTTTCACTCCCCACTCTGGCCCAATTACTTACTATGATACATTTTTAGAACTTATCTATCACACTATAGTCTGTTAAGAGAGTAAACTGTGAAATTTCATCTTATAACAGAGGCAGTATTGTACAGAGCTGTTTTTCACACAATTAAAAATTACCCTGTAAGCTCCCACGTATACTTTCCCGAATAGTCCACTTCTTTGCTCTTTCTGATCTGCTCTGGTTTGCAACCAGATCTCTAAATGTGTTTCTTCAAGAGTTAGAAAGCCTGCCGACTATTTATTTGTATAGTGGGCGTTTGGGCCATTTTGCTCTTTTCAATAACTTATTTGACATGATTGCCGTAAACAAAGCGTCACAGAACACGTGTCTAATCTCCAATAGTGGGTATTTCAGATCATCCTGGTTCGCCTGCAAGGGGGACAACCTCCAGCACAAGAAGCCAGTGCCATCCCTGAGCCCCATCACACTGGATTTTAATGTGTGAATCTCCTTTGGGTTTTCCTGTCCGCAGCATCTGTCAATTGTTTCCCGCTAACCTCGATGACATTGCAGAAGTCTCGGGTCAGACCCATTCTAGAAGTCTTGTGAAAGTATTTTCAATAAAATCATAATGGCTTGGAATATAACACACAAGTGAGATACTGCTAAAATGTTCTCCATTTGCTTCTGGGCTGCCTTATAAATTATATGTGCTCTTATCTGTGTGTATTTCTATGTACCAGACTCATCCTCTAAGAAAACGGCTCAATAAAATCATCTCTTCACATTCAATCTCAAAGTGATTGTAAAACGTTGTCTTCCATTTGTCCAACCTGAGCCCCATGATGAGGGTGAGTTGGCGAGAGAGAAACAGGAAGTAGCTGGGAAGAAAGGAGACTTCACCCGATTATGTGCAGTCGTGGCGTGTGTCACTCGAGTTCATGATATAAATACAGACTGTGAACAAGTTCAATTCAATACAGACCCCAGACAAGAAAACAGCACATAGATTTCCCTGGAAGAAGGCCTGCAGGTCATCTGTGACTTATTCCCTTTGAAGTGGGCACTCTCTCTTCTGGAAGGAAAACGGAGCCAACTTACCTGACATATAAATCTGCGTGGTATTTCTTTCCATTTAGGACTCCCAGCAGTGTTGGGTTTTCATTATTTCTGAAATTGAGTGTACAGTCATATACAGCTGAAACTATAAAAAATAAAACAAATACAAAGCAGTATAGAGCGTGTGAACCCAGTTTTGTTTCGTAAATACACACATTGGAAAACAATAATCGAATGGCTAGCTGCTTATCTCAGAAGGAGGGCGTTACTGGTTTCATCTTCATGCTTTTCTCTGTTGTCCAGATGGTCCACACTGGACACATTTTGTAATCCGAAAAGCACACTGCCTTTTAGTAATAGGAAGCAGAGTTATTCCTGAAGTCAGACCAGCTTAAAGCAACACTCTGGTGTCCCATCGAGATGTATGACAACAAATGCCAGTATTTAAACAAATAAGCAATAGGAAGATGAAGCAGTCCGAAGAATCCTGTCTAAGGATGTGTCTGAGTTTTGGCTGCATCACCATTTTAAAGAAGATAGCTATAAAACTAGAGTAAGATACTGGAAACTTCTTAAGGACTTGAACTATAGTCAGTTGAAACAGGGCTGAGGAACAAACGAGAATCTGCGATTTTAATAGGTCTGCCGAATGGTGAGTTAACCTGCCAGCGTATTCAAAGTGATGTCAGAATTCACTGTTGCCACCCCGGGACCTGGCCCGTGCCCAATAAATGCTCGTTGGATGGAGGATGCGTGAATGAACAGTGAGTGAACAGCAGTGTAGGAATACGGAGTGGGGCCCGATGGCCACTTCCTGCCGTGTCAGGGAGACAGGACTGGACGGTAGAAAGAACAGGAGTTTTGGAGTCCGGCTGGGTGCGAATCCCAGGGCCACCTTTTCCCAACCGCGGGATCTTCTCTTGGACGTGCGCTCAGCCTCCCCGAGCCTAGTTCTCCGGGAGAATGGGACTCATGAAGCCTTGGTCCCGTGGTTGCTGAGATGACGATGTCAGCATTTCCCACAGGCTCAGCACATTGTGCTCAACAGATCGTGAGCCTGGTACTCTATTGAGAGGCTTGCATACCTGCAAGTACTATGAATAAAGTGCGTGGGAGGATGAGGGGAGGGTAGAAAGTCATTTGGTCTGGCTGGGAACATGAAGAATCAGGATTCAAAAATCAGGAGAAAAAAATGGCCATCCATTTTCTTCTGCCTGGTGTCTGTCATCATGTAGGGCCCACAGCGGGTGCTCTGGCAGCTCAAGTGTGTCTTAGCCAAGGGGAGAGGGTCCCACCTGCTGGCCTGCAGGAGTGCCTGGGGGTAGCCCCCCGGACCCCATGACCCAGCAACCAAGACCGCTCCCTGGTCCTCACCCTTGGGCTGGAGACTGACTGTCCTTCCTGGTGGGGAGAGGCATCACTCCCCCACCCCAGGAAGATTGGGCTTGTGGCAAATAACCCCCTTTTCGTTACATTTTCTAGGCATTTTAAGCATAAAATTACACCTAGTAAAAGGCATGCAGCCAACATTGGATTAAATGTTCATTATGATGCTGAGTCCTACACATATTCCTCATTTCACCCTCCTTGCAACCCTAAAAAGTTTTACGGAAGAGCAAGCTCAGGATCAGAGAGGTGAGGTGACTCGCCCAGGCTCACACAGCTGGTGAGGGAAGGAGCCAGGCCCCAGGGCTAGGGTCCTGAGTGTCTCTGACTCTGCTGGATGCTGCAGGATGGAAGCAGCTGTGTCGGGGAGGGATAAGCAACAGGTGCGCATCCTCGGCCCTGGTTGCTGAGGTCAAGCATGGGGGCAGGGGCAGCAGGTTGCTCAGCAGCAGGCGGGTTTCTCGCCCTTAGAGTGAGTCCAGAATAAACCCTTCGGTGACACAGTTCCTTCGGGAGGCCTGGGCCGGGAGAGGGAGTGTGGAGGTGGCCACACCTGGAAGGTTCTGCAGACCCCAAGAAGCTACCGAGTCTCCAGAACCCACTTCTCTTCCCTCTCCCAGGGAGTGATGGCTGGATGCTCGGGTGCTGTGAGGAGTAGAGACGGTGATGTCTGTGGGTGACACCTGTGGCACGGGGCCAGCAAGGGGCAGTCAGGGAATGCCGGTGACCAGGAGAAGGTGGGGCAGGAAGGACGAGATAAGAAGCCAGGCAGGGGGAAACTGGAGTCACCCAGGTGATGGGACAAAGGTCAGAGGGGGAGCCGCCAGGGCACAGCCGAGGGCTGTGGGGACAGGGTTAGAAAGGGAGGCAGGGCCGGGAAGGGGGTGTGGACGGGGTTCTTAAACCCCTGCTGCAGTGGCTCCAGAACTGGGAACTCACTTGGTTAAAAAGTGCAGATTCAAGGCCCCAGTGGGGCAGAGGTCCCCGCAGGAGGCCTGGGTGGGGCTGGGATTGCGCCCAGTGGTCCTGCCGCGTCCTTGGGCGTGTGCAACACCACAGGAGACCCCACCCACACCATCCAACCCAAACACCTGATGTAGGCCCCGGGGGAGCTGGGAGCCCCATGCCCTTGGCCTCACGGGTAGATGGGAGCATTGCCAGCCAGGTCAAGGGAGGAAAGTCGTGCGGGGACAGAAGCCAGGGACCCCATCTCTCCCTCCAGGACAGCACACAGCCTGGCCCCGGGAGGAGTGAGGAAGGCCTGAACCCCGGAGCTGGGCGTGGTCCCTCCAGCCCGCTGGAGCCAAGACACAAGGGAGGTGGACTGTGGGGGTAGGGCTGGCTGCATGGCAGGATGAAGAATAAAGGACGGTGTTTCTGAACCGAAGGGATGAGGACTAGAAAGAAGACAGGGTAATCAGGACAAGAGGCTGGAGAGAAGTTGTGGTTGTTGCTACTTTTGTCCTCCTTTTACTTATGGTGACTTAGGGCTCCAAACTCAGGGGGCAGCCGGGACAGACGATAAGGTCACAGAGGTCATCATCTGGAGGCAGCTGGTGCCAACAGGTGGGCAAGAAATGCCAGACAAAACAAAACAACCCCGAAACCTGGGCTCCCTCGGGGAGGCAGGGGGTGTGAGGCCAGGCTGAACCCAGGAGACGACCCGGAGGGTCCACGCGGGCCCCACAGCCTTGCAGTACCGGAGCTGAGCAGTAGAGGGCGGTGTTGGCTTAGTGTGTGTGTAGTGTGAGCGTGTGAATGTGTGTGTGTGTGGGCGAGAGAGACAGCGGGCAGCAGCCACACCTCCGATGCCAGGTGCCTGGGCCTGGCTAACCAGGTGTGCAGAGCCGTCGTCCGTCCCCTCCTAGCTCCTAGCTGTGGTCACTGGCAAGCACAGCCAGGGACAAAGCTATCCATATCAGGGTGCTGGGGTTCGGTTTTCCTTGCCGCAGTGGGGAGGCCGGGGGACCCCAGGATCTTCCTTACCTACATTTCTCAAACTCCTCACGGTGATGGCAAAGCCCTTGGTGCGCGGCAGCAGGTGGTACTTGAGGCTGGGCAGCCCCTTGGCATGGGCCACCTGCATGCTGATCTGGTGCTTCTTCTCCGTGAACCGGGTGCCCTCGCAGTGAATCAGGAACTGGAAGGGACGGGGCGGCGGTCACACAGGGTCCCACAGTCACACACACTGTCCCCCATTGTACACCGCAGTCACACACGGTCCTATAGGAGCCCTTAGGGAATGGCCAGAGCAGGGATGGCCTGGCAGCTGGTGGGGCCCACCTTCCTCCACCCATGGCACTGGGCAGGACCTCTGGCTGCCACGTGCCTCCTGTGTGCAAGATTCTTGTGAGCTTCGGAGACAAAGGGTTTACCATGGGAGGGTAGTCAGGAAGAAGAGGAGTGAGTGAGTGTGACAAGAGCATCCTGAGTGTGAATGTGTGAGTGTGACAGAAGCATCCAGAGTGTGAATGTGTATGACAAGAGCACTCTGAATGTGAACATTTGTGTGACAGGAGCATTCTGAGTGTGTGAGAAGAGCATCCTGAGTATGAATGTGTGTGACAAGAGTATTCTGAGTGTGAATGTGTGAGTGTGACAAGAATACCCTGAGTGTGAATGTGTGAGTGTGACAAGAGTCTCCTGAGTGTGAATGTGTGAGTGTGAGTGACAGGAGCATCCTGAGTGTGAATGTGTGGGTGTGAGTGACAGGAGCACCCTGGGATTTCTTTCTTCCCCAGTAAGTTCAGAGGGCAGGACCAAGGCCGCGTGTGCACAGCGTGGCAGGCCGCGGGCAGGCTGGCAGGGCCGCGGGCGGCATGTCGGGCTGTCTGGGTGGGCGTGCATTGGGGCTGGTGTGGGCCTTACGTACAAAGTACTTCTCGGGGTAATCCCGGAGGTGCAGCAGGCTCTTGGCGACGGTCTTGCGGTCCTGCTCCCACTTGCGCGTGCAGAAGACCATCTCGGTGAAGTACCACATCCAGCCAATGATGGGCACGTAGGCCAGCTCCTTCTTGGCCAGGACTTTGGAGCCCTGAAACAGAGGAGGGGCCCGGGCTCCGTGAGCGGGATAAGAGGGCCCTCCCCCGTGGCTGTTGGAGATGTTACTAGAAAAAGAAAATGTGCTCTCCAAAGGCCAAAGCGGACAGTTCTGGAACACTGTGAAGCAAGAAGCCACTGACCCTGGAGCCTCCGTACTGGTCAGCGAGGGGTCAAGGTTGTGCTGAGTCTGTCCTATGTTGGGGTGGGGAGGGAGGCAGCCTGGGTCTCAATAGAGGAGGGCAGGCACCAGGAAGAGCCAGGGGCATTTAAGGGTCTTGGAGATGCTCAGGTCACCCTCCAGATGTCTCCAGGTGGTCACCGTCACTTCTGCTCACTAAGCCCATCACGCAGGGGGGTGACACCAGTTTACCAAACTCCCCTAGATCTCACTCAAGCCAAACTTGCCGAATCTGCAGGCAGGGGCGGCAATGCTCTCCTTTCAGGCTAGGAAAGGGGCCGCAGAAGGTTCTCTGGATCGTGTGGCCGGGGAGATGATGGGGCCGGGAGTCAGGCTCAGATCCCCAGCTCACGTTGGGAGCCCTCCACCTGTCCCCTCGCCGGCTCAGCCCTAAGGCTGAAAGTGGGGCTTGCGCACCTGCCAGAGATGGCCCAAGGCTGCTCAAGAGGAAGGACTTGGCCCACCAGCGGGCTGAACCCCCGGTGCTGCTCAGCAGGGACCATTAACCAGCCGAGCCAGGCTGTACAGGGGTGGGGGGGTGGGGCTGGACCAGGGACAACCGGGGATTCAGCGCAGTGGGGGGTGGGGGAGACACCAGAACAGCCTTTGATCTAGTGGGTTTGGGTTCTATATTTGTCGCTCTTAATTTTGGGATTGGTCAGGACACTCCTCGAAATAACCATCATTAGTCAATCAATGGCACAGATGTGAGAGGCGGTGACGTGGACGGTCGGGGTGGCCTTAGCTGATCTCCTGGTGACTAGGGTCGGGGTATGCCCCTGAACCCAGGAGGCCCAGAGGCAAGTCCCCGTGGATCAGAGGACTCCTCGTGCATGGGGTGAGGGCTTATCATGTGCCACAGGCTGTGCACCCCACAGAAATCCTGTTCAATAGGAATAGGTACCCAATTGTACAGATGATCAAACTGAGGCTCAGAGATGTTAAGTAACTTGCCCAGAATCACACAGCTATCAGCTGGGGAAGCTGAGAATTTAGAATTCAGGAGTTTAGAATTTTGTCGGAGGCCAAAGTCCATGCATGATAAACGTCAATGAACTTCAAATTCCTGGGCCAGACGCTGGCCACCTTGCAATGGCTGTATCCCCTCCTCTTTCATTTACAGACTCTCCATTCTGTTCGAAAGGCAACATACTCAGGCACCAGGGGTGACCCTGAGTGATGCCAGCCCAGCCTGGGGTTCCCCCGGACCCCTTAGCTTAGTGTGGGCATATGACCCAGTTCTGGCCCAGGTGACTCAGAGGTCCACTGGGGATGCATATTGCTGGGGCTTCTGGGGAAGTATTGCTCCCTGAGAAAAAGAGAGACAGCCAGGAGGCCCAGCTGCTTTTCCTCCAGGAGCACGGTTGCTCAGTGTGTCACGGCTTTGAGCATCCTGTGGTGACCCAGAGACAACAGCCTAGAATGCCGAGGCCACTGGGGACCCTGCGCCAACCCAGGAGGCATCTGGCTGCAGCCGTGCTGTGGTCAGAGGCAACAGAATGTCTTCATGGCAGAAGCCCCTGGAATCAGGGTTTCTGTCCATCTCGAGCTGGCTACGGCCTCAAGAAGTGCCATGACAGAGCGCCAGTCACGTTACTGTTAAAAATCTCTCCTGAATTCAGCTTCTTTCTTTGCAACACGGGGTTACTTCAGTGTCCTAAGAGGGTGAGTTAATTATCCTGACGGCTGCCCCCTCACGCTATAAATGAGAAGGAAATGCCTGTCACTCAAAAGCATGAGAACAAATCGCCTGGGGATCACCACTCTCCCCATAGGAGCCATTTAAAGCCCCTCCACTGGGTGTCCACTGGCGGGTTTCAGGCTGTGGGAGGCCCCCTCCCCCTGGCCCTCCTGTCAGCAGGAATGTGCTCATGTCCTCTGCTTCCTGTACTTTAGTCACCTCCCTATTCACAGCCTTTGAGATGAAAACAAAACAAAAAATCTTTACCAATGAACTCAACTTGTCTTCTTGGTAGATTAGGACCATTTTTTAAAACTTTTTTTTTTTTCTGAAGAAGATTAGCCCTGAGCTAACGTCTGCTGCCAATCCTCCTCTTTTTGCTGAGGAAGATTGGCCCTGAGCTAACAACCGTGCCCATCTTCCTCCACTTTATATGTGGGACGCCTGCCACAGCATGGCTTGATAAGCAGTGCCATGTCCACACCCGGGATCCAAACCGGCGAACCCCAGGCCACCAAAGCAGAGAGCACAAACTTAACCACTGCGTCACTGGGCTGGTCCCCAATCTTCCTCTTTTCGCATTTGAGTCGCCGCCACAGGATGGCCACTGGCAGACAGTGGTGTAGGTCCACGCCCAGGAACCGAACCCTGGCCGCCAAAGCAGAACGTGCTGGACTCAACCACTAGGCCACCCGGTCTGGCCCTAAAAAAACTTTATATTCCTGAACTCATTCCAAAAAGTAATTCATAGCAATATGAAGGAGTCATAAAGGACGATCTGATCCATAGCTGAGAGGTGGGTCATGTCCTCTAGAAGAGCAGCGTTGGCTCTGGGAAGGCAGTGGTCCCGTGTGGTCATCACAGCTATCTGGTGGGAAAGGTCCTCTCAGAGGCACTTCCTATTAATGGTTCCATCCCACAAGCCCCAAGAGGCTCTTAGTGGTTGGCCTTGGATGGCCTGCTGCTAAAAGGAAGTGGCCACTTCGACGGTGATGTGGGATCCATGTGCAGACCAAAGGAGGGGACCTCAGAGTCTATATGTCCATTGCCATCTTACTGTGTTAGAGCACTGAAAACCATTCGAATGTCCCACAGTAGAAGAGTTTGATGAATTATGGTGTATACTCTACGCCGTACAGTAAATAATGTCATGCTATAGAGCAGGTCTCAGCAAATTGGAGCCCATGCGCCAAATCTGCTCTGCTACCTGTCTTTTTTTTTTTTTTTTTTGGTGAGGAAGATTAGCCCTGAGTTAACATCTTCTGCCAATCTTCCTCTTTTTGTTTGAGGAAGATTATCGCTGAGCTAACATCAGTGCCAATCTGCCTCTATTTTATGTGGGGTGCTGCCACAGTGTGGCTTGATGAGTGGTGCGAGGTCTGTGCCCGGGATCGAAATCTGTGAGCCTCGGGGCCACCGAAGTGGAGCATGTGAACTTAACCACTACACCACCAGGCCAGCCCCTGCTACCTGTTTTTATAAATAAAGTTTTATCGGAACACAGCCACTCTTTCACGTACGCATTGCCTACGGCTGCTTTCAGGCTGCAACAGCTGAGCTGAATAGTTGTGACAGAGGCTAATGGTCCACAAAGCCTAAAATATTCACCATCTGGTCAGTTGCAAAGTTTGTCAGCCTTTCATTTAGAGCCACTAATATTTGTTTTCTCTGAATAGTTAATGGCTAGGGAAATGCTTATTATATAATATGAAATTTTTAAAAGATCTGGAATCAAAGCTGAGTCCACAGTCTGATTGTGACTCTACGGAAAAGAGTAAAACAGAAAAAAATAACGGTAGCTATAGCTGGGTGGCCAGCTTGGGAGTGATTTTTAAATTTTAGTAGATTTTCCTGTATTTCTTCCTAATCAGGAAAATACTTTGCCATGTCCCTCTAATAATGCCACTTTTCAGAAGTGACTGACTTCAGCACATTTTTGACCATTTGCTTCTGGAACGTAAGTGAGGCTCTGAATTAAAAGCAGCCTGTTTGTTTCTGATGATCAAAAGGAAGAGAAGAGATTTCTGTGTTTATGCTGAATTATGACATCTTTCAACCTTAAAATTCGGGATGCTGTCCACAGGTCTAGGCCTTGATGTTGATCACGTTTACTTGATATAAGAAATGTTTTAAAATATTAAAGGAGAAACTTTTATCTTCCAAATCAAAGACACTGCACTCGATTTCCTTTCCTTGGCAGGGACAATAGGACCTCGTGGAAAGCTGTGAAATCAGACAGTCCTGCTTTTAACCAGGGCCTACTGTGGCCTAGCTGTGTGATTTTGGTCCCGATACTTAACCTTTCTGAGCCTTATTTGTTCCTGGCTGTATTATGAGGAAAGTAATACTTACCTCAAAGTGTTGCTGTCAAGATTTAATAACATATGGAAGCATATACAAAAGCACAGAGTTGAGAACCTGACACACAGGGGTTGAATAATGTGTAGCTATTAATATCACCACCACGTGAGCACAGTGGCTGACTGTCTCTTTCAATTCACCCCATTTTCTAAGCCAGGCTTTAGCAGATAGTGATAACAATAGGTTACAGTTATCAAAGCATGCCCTGATGGGTATGGCGCTAAGAGACTTACAGAGTTAACTCATTTATGACCAAGAGCCTGGAAACTTACGATTCCCATGTGCTCACAGCCCTCCGGGAAAATCAATATGCTATCGATACCGTGACTCTCCCAGGCAGAGCAAAGGTTTCTCTGTGGGGATGGGAATGCCTTTAAGTACAAGAAAAGATACCGATTTCATTGATTCTGAATTTATTGTGAAGACAGACTTGAGGGGATTTACTGATGAGTTAGTTTTATCAACAGACCCATCTAGACAAAAGCGTGTCTAGAAAATCAAAAATGCTCACAGGGAGCACAGAGTGACCCACAACTGCAGGGAGCTGTAATGTACCGCCTGGTCGTTTTCTAGACGCTGCCATTCTGTCACATGCTATGGTTAAGAGTTTATGTAACTTTCGAGTGTGTGTGTGTGTGTGTGTGTGTGTGAGAGAGAGAGACACAGAGAGAGAGAGAAGAATTGTCTTATCGCAGCTGCCTAACCAGTCTAATCAAGCAGCCCATAATCAGAGTGAGGACCACCCAATGCTCAGACAAGCAGCCAGCCGCCT